TATGGACATTTTCACGATATTGATTCTTCCTAAGCATGAACATGGAATATTTCTCCATCTGTTTGTGTTCTCTCTTATTTCGTTGAGCAGTGGCTTGTAGTTCTCCTTGAAGAGGTCCTTTACGTTCCTTGTTAGTTGTATTCCTATGTATTTTATTCTCTTTGTGGCAATTGTGAATGGAAGTTTGTTCTTGATTTGGCTCTCTTTAAGTCTGTTATTGGTGCATAGGAATGCATGTGATTTTTGCACATTGATTTTGTATCCTGAGACTTTGCTGACCTTGCTTATCGGTTTCAGGAAGTTTGGGGCTGAGACGATGGGGTCTTCTAGATATACAATCATGCCGTCTGCAAATAGAGACAATTTGACTTCCTCCTTTCCTATTTGAATGCCTTTGTTTCTTTTTCTTGCCTGATTGCTCTGGCTAGAACTTCTAATACTATATTGAATAGCAGTGGTGAAAGAGGGCATCCTTGTCGGGTGCCACATTTCATGGGAAATGCTTCCAGTTTTTGCCCATTCAGTATGATATTGGCTGTTGGTTTGTCATAAATAGCTTTTATTATTTTGTGATACGTTCCATCAATACCTAGCTTATTGAGGGTTTTTAGCATAAAGGGCTGTTGAATTTTGTCAAAGGCCTTCTCTGCATCAATTGAGATAATCATGTGGTTTTTGTCTTTGGTTCTGTTTATGTGGTGAATTACATTTATAGACTTGCGCGTGTTGAACCAGCCTTGCATCCCCAGGATGAAGCCTACTTGATCATGGTGGATAAGCTTTTTGATGTGCTGTTGCAATCGGCTTGTCAGTATTTTATTGAAGATTTTTGCGTCTACGTTCATCATGGATATTGGCCTGAAGTTTTCTTTTCTTGTTGAGTCTCTGCCGGATTTTGGAATCAGGATGATGTTGGTGTCATAAAATGATTTGGGAAGGATTCCCTCTTTTTGTATTGTTTGGAATAGTTTCAGAAGGAATGGTACCAGCTACTCTTTGTATGTCTGGTAGAATTTGGCTGTGAACCCATCTGGACCTGGGCTTTATTTGGGTGGTAAGCTCTTAATTGCTGCCTCAACTTCAGACCTTGTTATGGGTCTCTTCAGGGTTTCGGCTTCTTCCTGGTTTAGGCTTGGGAGGAGGCAAGTGTCCAGGAATTTATCCATTTCTTCCAGGTTTATTAGTTTGTGTGCATAGAGTTGTTTGTAATAATCTCTGATGATGGTTTGAATTTCTGTGGAATCTGTGGTGATATCCCCTTTATCGTTTTTTATTGCATCAATTTGGTTATTCTCTCTTTTCTTTTTTATTAATCTGGCTAGTAGTATGTCTATTTTGTTGATCTTTTTAAAAAACCAGTTCCTGGATTTATTGATTTTTTGAAGGGTTTTTTGTGTCTCTATCTCCTTCAATTCTGCTCTGATCTTAGCTATTTCTTGTCTTCTGCTAGACTTTGAGGTTTTTTGATCTTGCTCCTCTAGCTCTTTCAGTTTTGACAATATGGTGTCAATTTTTGATCTCTCCTTGCTTCTCATGTGGGCACTTATCGCTATACATTTTCCTCTAGAGACTGCTTAAATGTATCCCAGAGATTCTGGTATGTTGTGACTTCATTCTCGTTGGTTTCGAAGAACATCTTTATTTCTGTCTTCATTTCATTGTTTATCCAGTCAACATTCAAGAGCAAGTTGTTCAGTTTCCATGAAGCTATGCGGTTCTGGGTTAGTTTTTGAATTCTGAGTTCTAACTTGATTGCACTGTGGTCTGAGAGACTGTTTGTTAGTATTTCCGTTCTTTTGCATTTGCTGAGGAGTGATTTACTCCCAATTATGTGGTCAATTTTAGAGTAGGTGTGATGTGGTGCTGAGAAGAATGTATATTTTGTGGATTTGGGGTGGAGAGTTCTGTAAATGTCTATTAGGTTTGCTTGGTCTAGGTCTGAGTTCAAGTCCTGGATATCCTTGTTAATTTTCTGTCTGGTTGATTTGTCTAATGTTGACAATGGGGTGTTAAAGTCTCCCACTATAATTGTGTGGGAGTCTAAGTCTCTTTGTAAGTCATTAAGAACTTGCCTTATGTATCTGGGTGCTCCTGTATTGGGTGCGTATATATTTAGGATCGTTAGCTCTTCTTGTTGCATTGATCCTTTTACCATTATTTAATGTACCTCTTTGTCTCTTATGATCTTTGTTGCTTTAAAGTCTAATTTATCAGATTTGAGAATTGCAACTCCTGCTTTTTTTTGCTCTCCATTTGCTTGGTAAATCTTCCTCCATCCCTTTATTTTGAGCCTTTGTGTATCCTTGCATGTGAGATGGGTTTCCTGGATACAGCACACCGATGGGTTTTGTCTTTTTATCCAATTTGCCAGTCTGTGTCTTTTGATTGGGGCATTTAGTCCATTTACATTTAGGGTTAATATTGTTATGTGTGAATTTGATACTGCCATTTTGGTGCTAGCTGGGTGTTTTGCCCTTTAGTTGAGCTGGTACTTGTTGTTCCTTTATATGTGTAGAGCCTCTTTCAGGAGCTCTTGTAGAGCTGGCCTGGTGGTGACGAAATCTTTGAGTACTTGCATGTTCCCAAAGGATTTTTTCCTTCACTTATGAAGCTTAGTTTGGCTGGATAGGAGATTCTGGGTTGAAAGTTCTTTTCTTTAAGGATGTTGAATATTGGCCCCCACTCTCTTCTGGCTTGTAGGGTTTCTGCTGAGAGATCTGCTGTGAGTCTGATGGGCTTCCCTTTATGGGTAACCCGACCTTTCTCTCTGGCCGCCCTTAGTATTTTCTCCTTCATTTCAACGCTGGTGAATCTGATGATTATGTGCCTTGGGATTGCTCTTCTTGATGAATATCTTTGTGGTGTTCTCTGTATTTCCTGGACTTGAATGTTTGCCTGCCTTGCTAGTTTGGGGAAGTTTTCCTGGATAATATCCTGAAGAGTATTTTCCAGCTTGGATTTATTCTGTTCGTCGCATTCAGGTACGCCTATCAAACGTAGATTAGGTCTTTTCACATAGTCCCACATTTCTTGGAGACTTCGTTCATTCCTTTTTACCCTTTTTTCTCCAGTCTTGCCTTCCCGTTTTATTTCATTGAGTTGATCTTCGACCTCTGATATCCTTTCTTCTGCTTGGTCAATTCGGCTGTTGATACTTGTGCATGCTTCACGAAGTTCTCGTGTTGTGTTTTTCAGCTCCATCAATTCACGTATATTTCTTTCTATTTTGTCCATTCTCGTTAGCATTTCATCAGATCTTTTTTCAAGGTTCTTAGTTTCTTTGCATTTCATTAGAACATGTTCTTTAAGTTCACAGAAGTTTCTTACTACCCACCTTCTGAAGTCTGATTCTGTCATTTCATCACACTCGTTCTCCCTCCAACCTTGTTCCCTTGCTGGTGAGGAATTGTGATCCCTTGTAGGAGGAGAGGTGCTCTGGTTTCGGGTGTTTTCATCCTTTTTGCGCTGGTTTCTTCCCATCTTTAAGGATTTATCCACCTGTCGACTTTGTATTTGCTGGCTTTCAGATTGGGTCTCAAATCTTTCAGATTGACGTTCTGTTTGTTGATGATGAGGTTATTTCTGTTTCTTGGTTTTCCATCTGACAGTCTGGCCCCTCTGCTGTAGGTCTGCTGAGGTTCAGTCCAGGCCCTGCTTGCCTGGGGTTTACCTGCAGAAGCTGCTGAATAGTAAGGGTTGTTACCAGTTTTCTTCTTCTGCTATCTTTGTCCCAGAAGGATACCCGCCTAGTGTCAATCTGATCTCTCTTTTATGAGGTGTCTCTTTGGATATATATGGGTCAGGGAGCTGCTTGAGGAGACGGTCTCTTCTTTATAGGAGCTCTAATGGTGAGCTGTGAGCTCTGTTGTTGTTCATTCAGAGCTGCTGGGCAGGTACGTTTAGGTCTGCTGCAGGAGAACTCATAAACTGCTTTTTGTTCCCAGGTGCTCTGTCCCAGGGATTTAGGGCTTTATTTATGAGCTTCCGTTATGCTGCCGCCTTCTTTTTTTTTTTTTTTTCCTTCAGACCTGCCCTGCCCAGCAAGGAGGCAACCTATTCACTGTCGGCCTATAGAGGCTTTGCTGAGCTGCTGTGGGCTCCGCCCCGCTGCTGAGTGAACTTCCTTGCAGTCCTGTTTATATGGGTGTAGTTAGAACTGCTTTGGCGATGGTGGCCTGCCTCTGTTGAAGCGGAGTCTCTCTGCTGCAGCGGGTTGCCTTGGCAACGGCGGGCTGCCTCAGCAATGGTAGGTTGCCTTGGCAAAGGCGGGCTCCCTCAGCATTGGCCGACTACCTCTGTCTTGGTGGGCTGCCTCGGTAATGGTGGATGCCCCTCCCCGACAGAGCTGGACCGTCCCGGGTTCAACTGCACTTGCTGTGAAAGTCTCAATCCAGAGTTTCTGGTTGCTGTTCTTTTGTGGGGGTGGGATCAGCCAAGCCTGATCACCTGGCTCCCTGCCTCAGCTCCTTTTTTAAGTTGGTGTTTCAGTCGCCTGTTGAAGAGGGCGCCAGGGTCTGTTTGTTTTCCCCTGCAGCCACTCACTGCACTGGCTTAAACAGCGGCATTGAGGTTTGTGGCAC